GACATAAGGGTCCCTGCAGGTTTTTCACAAAATACCAAAAAAAACAACAACAATTTTTTTTTTTTTTTTTTTTTTTTTTTTTACTAAGGAAAATTACATAAAATAAAAATAAATAGCAACACAGCGACTCGGATAAGTATATTCAATCTGATTCGCGTTAGATGACTCAAAAAGTGGTCTTCTTGACAATCACTGTTTTTCACAAGCTTCAAATATGTCCCCGCCCCCAATGTTAAACTCATTCCTACCCTCTGCTATTGTCGGTAGAGACAAGGTAAGTTACCTACTGCTGCTTTAGCTTTAAACGAGTGATAACAGAACAACACAACCCCGGCAGCCATAGTTTGGTTTTTGATTTGCTGTCTTTTTTATTAGCAATCCTCGCTGTAATCTAACTTTTCCTGCAGCTACATGAATGCTTGATTAAATCATAATTAGTTTCACCTGTGTCGCAGCTCATCATGTCTATTTATTGCAGTTCCGTACTCACTTTTTTTTCTGTCTGTCCTTGAATTTCCGTGTTATCGGGATTTCATTTTACACCTAGCTATGCTAGTTTCTGGCATTTTTTAAAGTCATGCAACCGTTAGTTTTTCAGAGATTGGCTGAGAATTAAAAAAAATAAAAAATAAATTTCTTCGGTTATTTTTATATTTATCGATTTTGTTGTGTGTAATTCCAGACTTGAATTGTGGGGCCGAGCTGATTGCATACTACGTGGCGAGAAGGTGAGGATTTTATTTTATTTTTTATGTTTAGCATTAGATGAGGGCAATGCAAGAAGAGTAAGATTTTGTTTAAAAATAAAAAATTTAAAGTGTGTGTGTGTGTGTGTGTGTATATATATATATATATATATATATATATATATATATATATATATACTTTACTCTTTAGCCATGTATTGCTATCTTGTGCTATTTGGTTAATTTACCACAAGCCGGTTAGCTTCAGCTTCCTGTTTGACAATGTCCCACCAATCGTGTTTTTGATGTAACTGAGGCTTTTGTCAAGCTGTACCAATATTTGAGTGATAGTGGTGGAACAGTCCAAGTTTTTTTTATTCTTCTGCATACTGCTTCTTTTTTTAACCCAGTCTCTTTCGTCATACTGTTCATAGATTGAACACCTGTCATGATCCTTCATGAAAGCTTTCCTGACCCTTATATATTATCAATCAAATTTTATTTGTATAGCACATTTTAGCAGTAAGGCATTTCAAAGTGCTTTACATAATTAAAATTAAAACAGCATGCGACATTGAATAAACGGTGAGAAAGAGAGACATTTTGTAAAAGATAAAAACATTAAAACCTGCACCCCTTTTAGGACTTCAGTTAAATGTCGTTTAACTGGGCCTCTAACCCTCTGGGACTTTAGCTGGAGGATTATGATATTTTTTTCATATCTTGGTTTATAGACGGATTTGCCTTAGTATTAGCTCTGATTCCAGAGTCTACCGAAACCTAATGGGCTAATCTGACTTTCCACTGGTAAAGGTAGATTGCCTGTTTGCTGTGATCTTTTTGATTTATTAATTTTTTTCTCTAAAATTGCAGTCAATCTGAATATTCTGAACTTTTAACACTCTTTCTGTCCTGTCTCTTCAAAACAGTCTGTTTGCCTAATCACCAGGGTAGATTTGCATCTTTTCACTTGTCATATTCTTTGTTTCATTCCTTTCACTGAAGGACATTTCAGCCGTTTGGTTATTTAGGCATGCTTAGAATATAAAGTGAATTATTGTGGATTTTGTTTAGTTATAACCCCTTCAGTGTACATGTCATTTTTTAATTTTATTTATTTTTTGCTCAGGTATACTTTTATTTCTATTCATCCCACATCTCTTGAGTCATTTCCTGTGCACATCAGTGCATACTTTAGTGCAGTTTTACTCTCGCACCTTCAGACTTTTATGCAGACTATCCTGCCATACAATCACAATCACCTTTTTTTTCCCGTTCTACTCATCATGTACTGTAAGGAAATGTATTTACATTATTTCAATAAATAGTGACTGTCAGCAATACTTTGCATCGTAGTTTGGCCCCCTTTGTTTAGAGCCTTTTCTAAGAAATTGTTTGTCTTCCAAAAGGATACAATGGAAATGTGGGGTTGCAAATTGAAGGACTAAATTAACATGGAACCTGTTGTATTTAAATTTAAACACTACATGCCTCAATGCAATCATTTTCCCTTAAAACAGGTTGAAACTAATCCAGAGCATCCAACACTTGTCCAAGATGACAAAACATAAAAATACTCAAATCTCGTTTTTGTTAAATGAAGACGGAAGGGTGCCTTTGACAGTATCACAGACTAACTCTAAACAGAACCAGGTTTCTATCCTAAAAAAGTAAGTAGTTTCCACATTTTGGTTGGCAGTCTCATTTACATGGAGCACTTTCACCTCACTGACGAAAACCTCCTCTATTCCCAGGACTGCTAATCATAACCCAGCAGTTGCAAAACCTGCAGCAAAGTCCAGAGTCTTGAAAAGCGGTGGAACTGTTTCTGAAGAGTCTTCGTCAAGTTGTGCAGCAGGATCCAAAGTGTTGCAAAAAGTGTGTCTCGGTATCAGAACTAGTTCTACAACTGCAGATGGTTCTGGATGCAGTAAGGTGAAATCCAGTGCCGTCAAAGCATTGCCTAAGACCAAGATGACGTGCTTAGCCTCTGCTAGAATCCCTGAACAACCAGTTAAACCTACAAGTACAGCTAGTTCTGCCAAGACTGGGCCTGATGAGAAGTTGGTTGGCGTAAACACCAAAGTGCGTCCCCACCAGAGAAATGTACCACTTTCTACCCAACTGAGCACCATATCTGAAAATGAGAAGCTCCTGAAAGAGCCCTCCAACCTACCTGTAAGCGGAGCGACGCAAAGCAGAAGCCTTCCTAAAATCGGCGAGTATTAACCTTTTTGATTAAGCTTATGTGTGAGGCCTCTTTTGATTAACATGCATCTTCTCTTGTGTTAGGCTTAAGTCAGCTGATCATTGTGTCATGTCAAGAAAAACAGCAAGTCTATTGTCAGCTGTGTTCAGTCAGGCTGAGAACATCCACTCACTCCACCAGCTTCACACACTGCTGTAACTATGTGGTAAGTGCCTGAGTTGGTCTTTCAGAGATAAAAGGTTAACCTTTCCAATGATCAACTTTCTTTCTCTGTCTAGGAGAATGTTTGTTTGTATCCAGACTTGTAGCCATTGTGCAGGTTGAAGCAGACTGCAGAAAACCCTGGGCTCATCTCAAAGATTCTCGGAGCTCCTATCTTAGCCTAATCGTTCCTATACAAGTTAATTTAAGTCTGAAGAGTGATTCAGTCAAATGCTGAGTGACTGAAACATTACTCCCAACAACTGAGTGTAGGCCAAATGTTTCCTCACACTTTATTTCTATCCTCGTCATGATTGATTTGCCATTTGGTCATTTTACTAAGTTATTTAGTGTTACTGTGGACGCTCAGTTGTAAGATATTCACTGTGAATACCGAGGAAAGGGAATAATTCAGTTTGAACTTCCAGTCGTTGGAAAGTTCCAGGTCAGGATGACCTGGGAAAAAAATAATAGTGTGACAGCAAATCACTCTGCCCTAGAGTCGGGAAGGAATTCAGATTTGGAGAGATATGGACAATAACAATAGCAAAAGTGCTGTTTAAGTCGCGTAGATGAGGCTTGAAATATCCCAGCTGTGGACGTTTCCTGGAAATGTTTGAACTCCAGTATGAAACGGGCCAAGAAATTTATGTAATCTGAAGAAAAGGACCTTATTGGTTAAAACATGCAGATAGACGCCCATTGATATAAAATCCGATAAAGACTCTTGTAACCATTGAAAAAAGGGGGAGATTTTCTGTAATTGTTGAACTTGTAATGTGTAAGCAGATGTGCTGAATAAATCTCCTTCTTCTTGACATGATTGGAGTAGTGACATTAAAGTCCTGTGTGAGGATTTTTATTTTATACGTTCGCCACTTTTCACCCCAACACCTTCTAGTACAAACTTGTTTGATCTGGAAAACTGACCAACTATAGAGGAAAAACAAGGATGTGAAACCCAAACTGACCTGGAGGAGGGCCAGCTGTTGGCACAGCTCAGTCCATTTTATGGACTCATTTTCTATGACTCTTTTGGCTGTCTTCCTTTCTAATGACGCTCTTGGGCTCAGTAATGGTCTACTCCTAACATTTTGTCATAATGTCAGGAGCCTCCTTTAGGTGATTTTGTAGGTTGTGTGTGTTTTTTTTTTTTTTAAATCTTGGCATGGTAGAATTCCAGGGGTTTTGAGTTTTCATAATTTACATCACAATATATCTTATTTCTGCTCCGACAGTCCTGAAACTCAAAAAATATTGATCATTTTAATCCATTAGAACAAGGGTGCACAAGTCCAGTCCTGGAGTGCTACAATCTTGCAACTTTTGGCTTCTATAATGCACCTGAGTCAAATGAACTGCTCGTTACCAGGTGAATGACTGCTGCAGAGGGAATTCATTAATTTGATTCATCTGAAAGTTGCAGGATGGGACTGAATTTGGGCACGCCTGTAATAGAAGTGAAGTTGGTTAACCTAAACTTTGAATCTTTGCCTATAACATTTTACCCCTCCATTCTTCCTCACATGCAAGCTAAGCCCTAGCATTTCAACTAATATGATTTCCCTGGTACTATGCTGTGTTTTTACTGTGCTTTTTTTTTTTTTTTCTCTAGAAAATGAAGTATCCAGGATGGACTGCAAATTTATCAGAGATTGGGGACAAATTCAAAGACATTGTGGCCCATTTAGCTGAGATTGAGAAAAGCATAGGATCACAGAAGCCACAGGTGACAAGCTCTTGCACAGTTACCATTGTTTCTGATCTTGTTGAAGTCCTACAGTTTTGATGTTGCCTCTCCTGTTTTTATTTCTAAGACGTGTAACCATTTACAAATGATTAGAAGCATTTGTAAATGGTTGGACGCACGTCAGAGAAACTAAATTTGTCAGAGTGCAGGTTGGAGACCACAAGTCATTCCAGGAGCAGGAAGCCATGCAAGTAGACTATTCCCAAGAGCCTGCATACTTGTCAAAATGTTTTTTTTTTTATTAATGTTGTGTAACCTGCTATTATTCGGTGAGCTGATTCCAAAAAATGTGATGTGGTTGGAAGCATGAACACCTTTGCCTTTCTCCATGTAGTTTTACCTTTGTGGGGTTTCTCTTAAAACAAATTGTACAAAATTTGCTTATTATTATTATAGGTGGTTAATACAGGCTAGTTTTGGCAATGCAGCAAGTATAGTTTCTAGCACAAACGCATCCAACCAGTTGGGTGTTTAAAATTGTAGGACTTCATGCAGTCTGTTAACTTGCACACCTTGTTTAGAGAATCTATTTTAAATGCATTTTCTTGCCATTCCTTTATTTCCTAGAGGACAGAAGTGAAGAAGGCGTTCTACCTAAAGCTTGCTGCTCTTTCAGAAAAAGAAGGTAGTAAAATCTTAAATATTTAAAATATTTCAATTTCAGAAAGCCACATAGTCGGTGCTCTTTTTTTTTTTTAAACCTAAAGTAGTTTTTTGTTTCGACTGTAACGGCCTGGCAAAGCTGGCACCCTGACATTTTCTGCTATAGTCTGGAGTAATCCTTTACCAGTTGGCCTGTCTGTAGTAAAGTTTATGTTTGGTTTGGAATAATTGATGTAATCAGTTGATTAAAATTTGCCTTGATACCCAAAATGTACTTAATGATGAAGAATTTAAACTTGGTTCATTTAAGACGGCTGAATTAACAGTTTGATAATGTGTCATAGCATGAATTTGTCATTTTAAAATCTAAAAGTGTTTTTGTTGTTTTGATATCAAATAAAATTATATATATATATATATATAATATCTAAAAGTGTTCTACTGATAAATAACTGGGAAATAATTCATTAAAATGTTGTGTGCATATTTAGAACTGCCTTTCTGGCTTGTTTTTTGATTCTCAGCTATTGAGGAACTAAAAACAATTGAGCGACAAGACCCCCGAAACTCATCCTCTGTATCTGAACCTGTGCAAACGTACCGACAGGAAGCTCAAAGTCCATGTGAAGTTTCAAGCTCAAATGATGGTAAGTTGTAAACAAACATTTTAAGGGTTTGACTTTTTGCACTATTGAAGACAGAATTCCTTCTTCAGATTTGTTTATTACTGTTTATTTTAGTTTGCTCCGACTTAATTCGGATTGATCTTTCAATATTTTATCCAAGGTGAAGATTGTAAAGCCGGTACTCTGACTCGGGACCATCTCCAGACATCTGCAAGTTGCATCAAAATGGATCAAAATCATGTTCCAAGCAGCGAAACTAAAGATGCTGCTGGTTTGACTTCATTTATTTGTCAGGTTTCTCCAAGAAAATGATTTTACAACTTCTTTCAGCATATATTCTTTTTATTTCAGAAACTGCTAAACAAAATCCATTTATGCCAGCTATTGATGCTCAGCCTCAAAGTCTCATAAGTAGTTCCAGTAAGTAATTTATTTATTTTACTGATATCTGTGTCTAGCCATCAGCATGTTGGTTCCATTCCTTGCATACCAAATCATTCATTTGCACAAATTCTTCACTCAAATTTGGCAGGAGTGAGAGTGGACTCTATTTTCCCACCAGAAAGAAAACTTTCAAAGAGTCTGTCGCCCGCACAAGATGCACCAAAAGCTGGTAACTGTCGACCAAAAGTTGAGATGTGCAGCCCCAAGAAACGAGCAGAGTCGGTGCAAATAAAAAGGACTGGACTGGGCCACAAAGTGAGAGAAGCTCCAATGCATGACGGACCACCTAGAGGACATGATGAATTACCACCACCACCACCCATAACTTGCTTTGGTTAGTGTTCAGCTTTCAAGTTGAACTTTTTGTCATTTACGAGTTGACTTATAGTAATGGATGGCTGTCGCAGGGAGAAAAGCTTCAGGCTGCAGTAATTTAGTCCTTTTCTTGCACGCAAGACAAGTGGACACTAAACAAGTCATTGGTGAGTACCCCTCTCTCATCTGTCAGCATTTTCCTGCCACTTTAGAGAAACTTGCAGCCTATCTGAATAGTTTCCCCTTATCAGGTATGGAGTTTCTGTGGGAGTGCAGAGGGATTTGTCTGGACACTTTCTATCTGTGTGAAAGCTGTGAGGAAACCGTCTCAAACCGTGACATCTGTCAACATGTGACCAGTCGCGATCACCAACTCGAATACATGGTGAGTGTTGGGTTAAAATTTGGGGAACCTTTTAATCTTTCCACTCTGAGTGGAACAAGCTTACTTATTGGTGCTAAATACCTTCTTTCCCCACTTTGTTTCAGTGGAAAAAGCACCCTGAGTTTCTGAAGATATTCTGGCAGGAGGAAGACTTGCCTCAAGCCTTGAAAATCAACATTTTGCAAGAAGTTATCTGGAGGCTGGCAGAGCGTGACAGTTTCCAAAAAAATGATGCAAAGGTAATTATCCACTAATAATTAGATCAAACAAGATAATTAAAGTTATATGTATATGAGCTCACTTCTGGTTTAATAATTTCCCTTTTTTCTCTCAGTGCATAATACTTCAACAAAAATTGCATCAGTTTGTCAGGATGACTCACTTCAGTGAAGGTAACATCTTTAAGTTTACAAACAGGTTGTTTACCACAGTTTGTATAATTTTTTTTATTTATATATATATATATATATATTTTTTAAGCTTTAAAAATTGTGCAGAGCATCCTTAATGAAGAGAAAACAACCGTCCATCTGCCCCTCAGTGCTGCATGCCAGTGGAGTAAGTCTCTAGTTTTAATTTTTATTCTCTTCAGGCAACCACTTGTTGCTAGCCTGGTCATTTCATCTCTTCATCATTTCAAATTGTATGTGTGAACTTCTGGAATCTGACTTCTGTAAAAGCAAGTGAAGGGGGACTTCTTTCAACTTTCAAAGATGACTACCTTAAAAAAAAATATTGTTTCTCAAAGCAATAACCATGCGTGACCTTCAAGGCTGCTTTTGAGTCTGTTGTACCAAACAGTTTGAATGTTAATACTGTCTTCTTCTTTAAGACATGTAAGGGGAAGAAAGTGAAATTGAACATGCAAACTTCTGATTGCAATACAACTTTTTTTTACCTACCTCAAATTGAAGCTTTATAACATCAGTCCAGCAAGTTTGTTCTGGCTTTGTGATTGAGTTTGGCTAAGATTCCTGATTCGACAAAGTTTGAAAGGTTAGTCTCAGCAGTTCCATCCATCCTTTGCACTATCTTTTTTATTTTTACCTGCTAAATAAACTAAATGCACTATTTTAATGTGCAAAGCCGTCAGATTTCTGTAGATGAGATGTGTAATTTATAGATTTTAAACAAAAAAGGTCTACCAGATTTTTATAAAAATCTGCAAAACATTCAGTAAATTTAATCTCCTAGACTTTTTTATGTTTAGTAACAAGAACATAGTATGGCTCTGTCTAGCTTCATTTTGACATGTCTTTAGCTTCGTGTTTTTATTTATTTTTTTTGTTGGGGCTGGTGCTCATGTCCAGCGGTCATTGAGTGAGAGGCAGGGTACACCCTACACAGGTCGCCAGTTCGTCACAGGAAAAACATCCATACATACACATAACTACAGTTTGGAGAGTCCATTTAGCCTAACGGTCATATTTTTGGACTGTGGGAGGAACTGGAACCAACTCATTCACAAAGAACATGTGAATTTCCAGCAGAAAGACCCCAATCCAGGATTCAAACCATGCATTTCGTCTGGATTGAAAAGGATAAAAGACACCATGGCAGCCTGGAAAGTCACACTGTTAGGTTTTGAGAGAGCATTTTTTTTTTGTTTTGGTTCTCATCTCTAGTAGCAGACAAACAGTTGGTAGAATGTTTTGGCATTGATTGGTGAAGGGGATAGTTGAATATGATTTGACGGGCAGGGAGGAGATGCTTTTTAATCTGTACTAAATATGAGCAACCGCTTTTCCTAGTTTGTCTGCAGTTTAAGTACTTCTGGGTTTTCTGGTGCCTGCACTTGCTAAGGTATTACTGATTCTCTCTCCTTCTCATGAAGGCCTGTAGCGCCCCCTAACTGTCACTGGAGCATACTGACTGGTTCAATGCTGTCAGACTACATAGATTGACTAAAATGCCCCAAACCCTAATATTTTCTAACACCCCCTACACTTTCCTGTCTTTAAAAAAAACAAACTTTTTTTTCCTGTTTTTATTTCAGATGAAGAAATTACAAAAAGCACAGTTTTGGAAGAAATGTCCAATGTTGGAACATCAGATGTAATAACAAAAACGGACTTCAGTCCTGTGGATATGAACTCCTCTTCATCAAACACTGATTTGGTTAGCTCTGGTGTCCCTAATCGAAGCGTAGAAGATGCCAAACCCAATCCTTTTCAAAAGCCAGTGTCATCAGCTCTTGCTTTGCCTCAGAGCTCTGATCAGAAACTAGTTCCAGAAGAAACATCTTGCACAGCTTTCGGAACAAAACTGAACGTATCAGTCAGTGGCCCAACTAAAAAAAGACCAGCCAGCTCATCGATGGACCCCCTGCCAGCTAAACGTATGCTCATCATGCAGAAGATCAAGTGTGAGCCTGCTTCTCCAAATTCAACGTCTCCTCCAGTCAACCTTCCTGCAGGCCCTTCTCTGCTTGGTATCAAAGATGAAGACTCTGGACCTAAGCATCTTCAATCCACTGTGGATCAGGATTTGTTTTCAAAACTAACTTCTCATTTGAAACGGATCACCTCCAAGTTGACTAAGGATAATATTAAAACCATTAACTCCTGTCCAACCAGTTCTCCTGCAATTCCTCAAACTAGGTGGGATGCAAAAATTGATAACTCTGGAAGTGTGTCGTACGACTGGGACTCAAAGTGTTGCCTGATTCAAGCTCCAGTGAGGAAGAATCCACCTACCAACTTGTTAGACGGGACTAAGATGGTGACATCTGATTTGGAGTGCAAGAAGGAACTTGTCACCGTAGGTCTCGACTCTGCTCCTAAAATCGTCTCGTCCTCTGAAAGCCTACAGCGGATCGTTGCAGATGATGTGACTGAAGACAAGCCTGTCACTACTCTAGCTCCTACTGCTGACCTCTTTAAACTACAGGATCAGCAATTCTGTAAAAATGAAAGTAGACTTCCATTTGGTTGTGCCACTACCAACCCTAACTCGGGGCAAACACTGAAGCCAAAATGTGACCCAGAACCTGACGGGAATGCGATTGGTCCATTACTTAACACTACTGGAGCTGACCAGCCAGACCCCATAAAGCGCATGTTTCAGTCCAGCTACACTGAACAGGCCAATACTGACATTAACATAAACAATCAAATCGGCTTCCACATTGATCCACCACTAAGACCCACTTTCACGGTGGCGGGTTCAGGAGGCTGTGATCCACACGGCCAAATGGGCGATTCAGGTTATCCTTCCTATCGGGCTGGTCAAAAACATGTGGCTGCTTCATTTAGCACTGAAGGCTCACATCTACCGTTCATCTATTCAAGCCTGATCTACCCACAGCAGATGGTGAACCCCTTCAGTCTTACTCCTTTCAGATATCATTTGACACCCCAATTACCTCCAGGAACGGGGTCTTTCAACACGCCGTACTACCCATGGATGGCAGGGGTGAGAATGTGATCCATGAATCTTCTCTGGACTTGTATTCATAGTTTTTTTTTTTTTTTTTTTTTTTGTTTTTTGTTTTTTTCTTTCTGCCTGCTTGCATTTTGGTCCTACAATTTTACATACGTTATTCTTGTGAAGTGATTTGTTTGCAAGCCGTTATGTTTTCCATGTTAAAATATAAAAGGGACTTGATTGGTTTGTTTTTAATCAAATTCTACATTGCATGGATTTTAGATATGGAACTGTTTCTGAATGCAAGTTTAGTTTTTAGTAAAAATGTTTAAAAAAATGCCAAATGTAGTCTAATTCACACAAATTGTTCAAATGCCTTTGGACTGTGAGTTGGAGTACAGATTTGCTAATGATTGTCTACTAGATGTGCTAGTTGGACCCCATTAGCATTATCTTAGTTTTAAAGTTTTTATTGTTCCATTGTTATAACATGGTAATACAACTTTGCTATTTTTTGTTGGCCTAAAGATGTTCATCCTTTAAATGAGCCGTCTATAGTGTCTTGCAAGATGTGACTACACAATTAAAAAACTACACTTATAAAAAGGTAAATACATATACTTAGTTGTACTTGTATACCTGGCATGCATAGAAGGATATTTGTAATTGGTAATTTATTTCTTCAATTCTTGTAAAGAAATCTGTTGTTGGAAAACCTGTTTCAAATTAAAAGTTCTCACAAGTGTGAATAAAGTTTTGTTGAGAATGTAGGTTGCTCCTATGAAAACTAAACCGAATCCTCTCTGATCCTGGTAAACTCTGATTTTGCTATCAAGTCTCGTTTTGTGTGATTATTGGGTTGGATGCTTAAAGTTTAAATACAAAAAAAACACACTGCCAGATTAATTTCAGTCCCAAATGTGATTCCTAAACTTTCCTCTGCTTTTGACTGGATTCCCTCAGTGTAAAGTTGAGTCTGCACAAGGTAAGATAAGAAACTGATTTAAATGAACATTACCAGCTTTTCTTTTTTTTTATTTTTATTTTTTTTTGTCATGACCCTGAAGTTTAAGAAACGGTCAGCTTTTTTAAATAAACGTCTCAAGTTGTCCCACTATTTTCTTTGACAGACCAGTTTATTATCTTAAATGTCTTTATTTAACCATACAATAAACTTAAAAGTGAAAACCTCTCCTTAGTCCCTGAGGAAAGAATTCAACACGTAACCATGGCAACAGGAGAAAAGGGAGGCTAGCATAAACAACTTGGCCATGTTTCATTTCATGGCTAAGTTGTGACTGGCCGTGAACGTTGCTCTCCCTCACACCAATCAGGGTCTTATGATAACTCGGGTGTTATGAGATAAACGCATTCTTTGGAAAATTATTACAGGTGCCGTTCAAGGCAAAATCAGAGATGGATGACCTACAAATGTTTGTTTCAAGGAGTTTTACTTGCACAAGGCGAACATTTGAGTTATGGGATCTGTAAGGTCAAAGACTATAAACATTGTCCAGTTCAAACCTTGGCACAGAAATTTGTGTGAATAAAGTGGTTGTCTCATCTAAACAAATGTTTGATAGTTGTGTAGACTAATGCTTTGTAAATTATCCATATTTCTCAAGCGTTCTCATTTTATTGTAACTACAAAATGTTTGAGAAGACGGTTTATAAGCTAGGCTAAAATTAAGTTGTGCAAATGGAAAATAATACATTTATCTCTCTCTTTTTTTAACTTTTAACCTGAAAACAGTGGTGTTTGATTTCTGACCTACTGTGTTCATACCAGCTTTCAGAGTAATCATCTGTCTCTTATGAGAAATTCTTGCAAAGACTTAAATTTTTATTGTAAAAATAATATGCAGAGGTGGTACCTAAAGATTGCAAGATTAGCACTACTTCCATATATTTTTTACTCAAGTAAAAGCAAAAAAAAAAATTTGTAAAAAGTCTACTGAAGTATTTGGTAACTGATCAAATTTTTGATCATTTAATATTTAAAAATTATGCAGTCAGATGGAGCAAAAATATAAAATGAAGTGGAATTTTTTTTCTGGTATTTTAAAGATGAAAATGACTAAGTAAAAAGATGTTTCCAAATTAGTTTATTTCAATAAATAACATGAAACTTTGCCCAAAAACTGCAGGTGTGTGTCTGTGTCTGGCGAATTTTTGGTTTAAACATGTTTGTTCTTTATATAGAAATTACTCACAGTGGTTAGAGAAAAAAAAAACATTTTACTCAAGTAAGATCAGCAATACTTAAGAAATTACTCAAAAGTAAAAAGTACAGTGTAATAAAAATAAAGTATTCTTGTAATGTTACTCAAGTAAATTCAATAGAGTCAATCTAAGTAGTTACTAACCAACTCTGACAATGTGACCTTTACCCTAAACCATTAGTTCATGGCTAACCTGAACTCAATAAATCCTAAGCCGCACTCATCACCCAAAAACAGAACTGTTTCTAATGGGACCCGGATTTTGGGGCCCTTAAGGAGCAGTATGTCCTCACAGCGTAGTATTTGTTGGGAAAAAATTAGCCTTACAAGGCTAGAAACACTGAAACACACACACCAACACACGAGGGCTAGCCTGATGGGGGCGTTCCTCAGAACAACTTGGCGCTACACGAAAGATATTGGTTGCTAAACTTTCAGTGCGTCATTGTTATCTTTACTTCCCGTTTTCCAAGGTTCCTACACGACAACCTCAAGTTGTGTTACCAACGACTGCTCCTGGTCCAGGTGAGAATAGGTAGGTTTCTCCAGCGGCTTTCTGGGAGCCAAACATGTTTGGAGGACTGAGCCGGGTTAGCCCAGGGTCACATGCCGCTGTTGCAGACACCTGGACGGTTAGGGTTTTCTACACTGAAAATGGCTGTTAAACGTAGTTACCGTCGCTTTTTTTGGAAACTGCTCACGCCTTCACTTACTTCGGGGAATATATTTATTTTTTTGTACTGTTGTTGAATGTGAGTTTAAATCGCTGTTTTATGCGATACTTGGCGTATTCACAGTGACGGATATCCGGAGGAGAATCGGTAAAATTGAGCTATTTATGGATGGGGAGAAATGCTACAATTTACGCTGGATGATATTAGAGAATATTTATTATTTCAGTAGGGCTCGACTACAGGAAATACCAAAACCACTGGATGTTTCCTCATCCACAAAAGTAGTTTCTATGAGTTGTTGGTCCACATTCCGCCGCAAAGTGTCGGCATTTCATGACGAGAGGCCAAAAACTTTGTTAAACCAGAATCTGTATGTTTGTTAGATTTAAAATTGCTTCAGAATGTTATTCCTGGAAGCAAATAAAAAATAATTGATCATTTTCGTTGAGTTTTCAGTTGCTAAAGTTTGAAACTGCTGCGCCACCTCGTGGTTACATTTGAAACAACAGATACCTGAACTCTGGCTTACCCAGACATCGAAATATTTAAAACAAAACAACCCCCCCTCCCCTCAAAAACAAACAAAACTTATTTAAGCAAATTTCTGTCTGAATAGTTAACCTTTTTTTTTAATGTCCGTTTTTATTTATTTTTATTTTATTCTACTTTTATACTTTATTTCAATGTAAACTTTTTTGAATGTTGGCACATCTTTTTTTTTATAGCAATTAAGTTCTTTACAACCACATGTGGTATTCTTTAGTCATCCCTTCAAAGTCAGTATTTTATAGTTTCTTCTCATGTCCTTTGCAAACTCCCAAGTTTTTTTTGTTTTAGATTGATCTGCTTATTGTTCCATTCTTTTTTCAATCGACTATAACCAAAAAGCATCTCCACAGCATATTAATGCCACGTTATCTTTATATCTTCACATCCATCTGTTTCAGATGGTAAATAATGCGTATATAGTAAGGTTGTGCTATACATGGCAAACTTTTTTTGTTGATTCTTGTGTGCCAAGCTTTAAAAATATAATTACTAATTCACTCTAATCTTCCCTACACAGGTGGTGTTTTGTTGGACCTTCAGGATGGATCCAGGTGGGGTTCAAACAGACATGCTGCACCATTTACAGTTCTGTAAAACACATTTATTGTTTTTGTTTTTGTTTTTTTGACACAATTTTAATATCAGATATGATCAGAGTAAATATAAAACTAAGTTTTCAACTGGTAATTTAATTTATTTAGTGGGGAAAACAAAGTTACAAATAGCAACTCAGCAGATATAGCGTATGGACAGGAAGGACTTTTCTTATTATTATGGTTTATTATTTCCACATAAGGTCAGGTTGGTTTGTATAGCTTTTTAACCCCTTAAAATGAAATAATTTTCAATTAATTTTGTTATTAAAATGAGTTTGATGATTTGAAACATGGAAAAAGGCACAAACAGAAGCAATCCTTAAGGATGCAAATGTTTATATTCTATACACGAGTTTCAGTGTAAAGTGTTTTTGGAAAAGTATGTTATATTCATGCTTTCAGGCAAAAGCGAGCTGCTGAACTCTCTGGAGACGTATCTGAACAACAAAGCCAGACTACAACCCATCATAGGTCTGTAGAAACAAGTCAAAGTTTGTTGAAGTGTGGCCTTTTCTCGTTTTTCATTCCATAATTCTGCTGTCCTGTGCATATTTAGGCCTGGGCACCATTATAGAGTGTGTGAATGTGACTTCACGGGCCAGAGAGACGTTGTACCTGTGTGAGGTGTGTGCATGCAGACTCACCAAAGCTGATATGCGGAACCACATCATGGGGAGTCACCACAGATTCAATTACATTGTAAGTTCTGCTGAAGAAAAGTCATGTTGCGTATTTGTGATCTGTTGTTGTTGTTACTTATGTGATGTTCTGCTCATCAGAAAGCCTGCCACCCCCACTTAGTGTCTAAGTGGCCGGGCAGCCCTGACCTGTCTAAGATGGCTTGGCCTTTAATGGAGTTGGCTAAAGTGTTGGAGAAGAAAGAAGGACCAGGAAATGTTCAGGTATGCTGTTTTGCTCTGTTTGTTTTCAGCTACATGTGTTTTGATGTCTTCATATCTTCTTGTCTTTTATATAAAGTTATTTGAAGTTCAAGATGAGCTTTACCAGATGATGGCGACACAGAGTGAAAATCACGGTTAGTTTTTTTATGAACTTACACTCTTATGTTATTCTTGTACATACAGGGTTTCCCCCAGTGTATTATAAGCCTGGCGGGCCACCAGGCTTCACTTGTGCCTCCACCAGGCTAAGCATTGTTTATCTATTTTGTTTTTTAATGATTGCTTTTTAAAAGACTTTATAGTTGGTGTTTAGGTATTAATCTTCCAGTCTTCCAATAACATGCAACTATCAAGTGATATTTTCAAATTTCCTGTCGACTCTAAACATTTTTTAACCCAAAAACAATGCGGACCCCTGGATGACTTGCCCAAGGGCCCCAAGCACCAGGCTTAGCAAGTCTTCTGGGGGAAACTTTGACATGTACGTATTGTCAACGAGGCATCCTTCTCTCTTCAACACCACAGCAGTGACTCTGATGAAGACTTTAAAACAAGAGCAGGCTGAGTTGGAGAGCTTTTCCGAAACGAAACCGTTGCATTATCCGGTGGCGTCTCAGAGGGTCGTTTTGCCTGCACGCAACCAGTGGGAACATCCAGAGACATCCGACAGGGGAGACATGAAATTAGTTCAAGTCTCACAGCAAACTGAGCTGAAGACACCCTTACAAAACATATCAGCCCCACGGCTGGAGAAGGTCCAGATGTCGGCTGAGGCCTCTGCGATATCGGAGAGCGGCGACGGGTTTCTGGAGGATTTCCCTGGAGCCAAGCCTGTTATTGGTAAGCACAGATTAACTGTCGCAACAAAGCAGTAATTACAAAGCTAACCTAG